ACCTCTCTAAGAGTATAATTTAATTCAAAAGCTTTAAAATGGTCATACAAATCTTCCCTATCTTCGAAATCAAAGCAAATATGCTATTGAATTAAATAATCTGAATGTGCTTAGTAATTAAAGAGTTATGTGAACATTAGGAAAGAAAAACCGTCAACTTTTGTGCAATATGCGTGGGAAATAGAATAACACCACACAGAGACACTTTCGTCTGGTTTTGCCACAGTAGTCACCGGTGAAAAGATCTGAAATTACGCAAACCACACTCAGAGGTGAGTCAGCGCAGGATAGACCAGATGGCGTAAAACAACCTGGCCGAAAATACTTGATGACTAGCGCCTCAGCAACTCATTTGGGGAATATTTAGGCCCTGTTTGCGTACAAATATGCATCACCTCATCTTAAGTTATAATAGAATTAGCCTTGGAAATGCTACATCAAGTACGAATTTTATCAAAATCATTTCAGGTCGTGTACTTTAGTGAACGTTTGATGTTCGCATTTATAGGGCCAAGGTAGAGAGGTGAATCACCATTTTGGAAAGCCAATGGTAAAATTAAAAATGATTGATTCTGCAGCGACAGGTTGGAACGGCTCTAAAGTACTTAGATGTCAAAATCAAAGTTCAAGGACGCAGAAAATATGTTTTATCTCGAAATGAGTTGATCAAACCCAAGTCTGCTATTCAAAAATAATTCTTACCAATTTGCAGACTAACTTTCTACCAGAAAGTCAATGAGTTGACCTTTAAGTATCATTCCCATGATTGATTTTAACTCAGTTCTTTCCATAACAATCCAATAGAATAGGACAATTGCTTGTGAAAATCCTGACGTTTGAAAAAACCCATTCAATCAATCTTTAAAATAATTTGATTATCAGTTACCTTAGTTTTATGCTTGATTAAGTTTATTTTGCAGTGACAGTCCAAATCTCCCAACCTTTCCTCCTTAGGTAAATGTTTTGGTCCAGCTTTGGATTTGTTGGGCAGGTCTGCCAGTTCTTCCTCAACTCGGTTTCATTAACAAGAAGAACTCGATGGCACTAAGGGCGTGCGAAGATATCGTCCCCTTTAATGTTGTACAAATTTGCCATTTGTGGTTACTGTTCTAATGTTGAATTCACCATCTAAATTTCTCTACTTTTCTTATCAACCTTCTGCATAGAATTCCCATGATCTTACATTTAACTGGCATTTTGTGCTCTACTGCTCTGAGGTAAATTAATGAGATTCAATTAAAAAAAAACGCTAGCTAAGTCTGTGAAGACTAGTTAGATTTTCGATTATTTATTGGAGTCCATTTCATTCCTCTCCATTCTGAATATCACCACGGGCAAAGGACAAGTTTATTTAGTTGCGGTATATTCTATTTTTGATTTTCTTCTTTACCACTGATAAGCCCTGGTTTCATTTTAATGAAATTGAAAAATAGAAATCATCATTTGATTACAATTAAAAAAATTAATATTATGTATGTCCATTTTTCCTTATTCTAAAACTATCGCCAATATATAGGCTGGAGTTAGGTGATTGGACGAATAATTTGTGTAAACAGATTAGTCAGCAACCAAGTAAGCAACTTGAATCATACCTTCGTGTGATTTCTCACCATTATTGAATCTCCCAGGATCTTTTTCTCGATAGAACCAATGGGGGGAACATGAAAGATTTCTATTGGTTGTTTTGTTTAACTTAAAGCTGCTAATTTTGTCCCCAGTCTCAAATCAGCAGTTAATTTTGATCAGAATTCCGAGTGAGGAATGAATTTCCTAAATATATTTTTAAATACTCCTACAACGGTACGAAATATAACCCCGGATGAGGCCTTGATTGAAGCTATTCAAAAGAGAACAGTTTTTAAATCGCTATGTTAAAGTTTGCTTATCTAGTAACCGTTAAGGTTAATTCAATATCGACACCTTATGTTTTCTACATTTTAATCAAAGACTACCCACTTGACGGTCCATCTTTAAATTCCTTTTGCATATAAGCATCTGAAGGACTTCCAACCTTCCATTTCGTTTCCTTACTTGAAACTTACTTAACATTTTATTTGTTCAGAAATAATTTAAAATCTGTTAAGGATTTGGTTTGAAAATAGATTGTATGCTAATCTTCCACTTATCAAGACTTCCTTTCACTTATTTCACTTATATATATTTCCCCTATTATGGTGGCAATCCATAATGCAATCTGTAGTGGGAGTGCTATTACTTCCAATGAGGAGTAATAAATTCCGCCCTTTGCATAATTCAAAAACTGTTTATATGGATACGACGCTGCCAAGTGCGTGATTCACCGAAAATTGAGACAGGCAAGTTACCGGAGTTGCTTCACTGAGTAATTTGAAGAGTTCTCTTCGGTATAAGTTGGCGAAGAAAAAAGCAAATTAAATGGAAACTTCTGTCGATGGTGGTTGACTTGGATTCAACTCACCATCATAGGTTGCAAAGAAATCTTTTTTTTAGTTTGAGGATATACGTCTTTTGAATTCTGGGGTCTTAATTGGAAAAAGAGCATCAAATGTCAGGCGACAGTGAGAAGTCCATTATAACTTGTTTTCAAATTTCTCCCAAAAGAAAATACTCCGAATTGTCTTTCATATTTAACTACATGGTGCGATTTACCTGACCTCAAGGATATGGGCTTTCTCCCTCACTGTAGAGCTTGGAGGGCTTAGTTCCATGCTTATTCAAGCCTATTTGTTAATTGCTATCTTCGTGGGATGAAAACAGATCAACATCACTTTCTTCACTATGAAATAAAATCTATGCTTCCATGCTCAATCTACACTTTTGTCTACTCTTGATTGTAAAAAAAAATTTAAAAAAAAGATTTACACATTTGGCGTCAGTTCAATGATTTTTCTTTACTTCTGCCGTTTTCAACTATGTTTTGAAGACAACTAAGTGAGAATTTCATTCGCATTTGGATTATGAAATCAATATTCCAAATCCCATACAACTTTGCCCATATTTAAGATAACATTAGTGAGGAAGACAAATTATGTCAACTATCTGCATATCATATCAGTTTCGTTCACCTAGGGTGAAAATATTGATGAGTACTTCAATTGATCAACAGATTTTAATCACGTGCTCTAAGGTATGTTTCGCTGTGGTTCGATGAAGTAAGAATTGTTAAAGTACACTTTCAAATTTAAGCGCGCATTGCTACCCTAATAAGCCTCGACATAAGCTCCGTAATCTCTATGGCAAAGTATCCTAGTTTCGGATAGTTTATAGGATTAGCTAACCGAACGCAAAGCTATAGAGGAAACAGACGTATGACATGGAATACGTTTATTTGTGATATGTGTCACTAACACGGAACTTAGTCATTTCAATGCCATGAAAGGCTTGTCTAACAACAGAGGGACCAGTGATTGGAGGCTTGCTGAGAAGTCTCTGCGCTCACGACCGATATCATTGAGAGAGTTTTTGGCAATTAGAATGATTGGTTCTGCCATGTCCAAATTTTGGCATTGAATAGGGATGTATGAATGTACACTTTCAAATTGAGGTTATCCAAATCAACTGTCATTGTCCTAATTATTAAATTCCTGAGTTAATCTAACATCTCTATTTTATCGGTAAATGAAATAGTTGCTCTATGTTTGGTATATTGTCTATTTTTGGAAGACCGGCAGTTTCAAAACGTGTATAGGACTACTTAACTCATGTACTATTCAAACGAGCATCTATGAGTATTTATCACTTATGAATTTATTGCTCAAATCTATTACAAAAGTAGTTTTTAATAACCCAGTCAGAGATCATTAGCATTATGTGTAACTATTTCATGTGTTTTTCCAACACAGAAAAAAATATAACATGCAGGTTAAAGGCCGTCCAATTCTATTTCTTTCGTACTTAGCACAGTTGTACTTGGGCTAGAAAAGTCAAGGATTCAAGTAGAATTGTTGAGGGGACATTTTTTCATTCAACTTTTGGTACCAGGACCTCTGTTAATGAGAAGTAATCAGACAGAAAACACCTATTAGGCCCATTACCAATCTACGAATCGTAAGTTATGCAGAATTTCACACCAAATATAATGGAGCCTATAACTTATCTTGGGTTAGATGAAAGAGTAGAATGTGACGATCAACGCCAAGACTGATTGGACAGCCGGACTTTCTTTAAATTGTGGTGTCATGGAGCAACACAATTAGTATTTCCCCTGCAACGTGGGCTAACGATGATTCATATTTCTATTAGTAAATGGGCGGCTCATAAGGCACGCAACTCCC